AAATTGAACTATTGCTGGGGCTATGGAGAGCCATGCATTCAAAGTGGCACAGTCGGCTGCCATCTTTGAGCGGGGCACTGTTGTTTCCAACTCTGCCCTCTAGAGATTTGTTTCCTAAACAACTGCATGCTGCCCTCGTTCTCTAAGAGAGATCAAGCTTCTAACAGGGCGGATGTTGTTGCTAGGCGCTGCCCAGTGTGTTCTGACTCATAGCGGCCCTCCCTGCAATAGAATGAAACGTGCCCTGGTCCTGTGCCCTCCTCACACTTGCTTAAGCCTATCATGGCAGCCACGGTGCCAACCCATTTCGCTGAGGGTCTTCCTCCTTTTTGCTGCCCCTCCACTTTACAAAGCACTATGTCCCTTTTCAGGGACTGTTTTCTCTTGGCAACATGTCTGAAGTACGTGAGACGAAGACTCACCATCCTTGCCTCTAAGGAACATTTGTTGGCTCTTTTGGCAATCTATGGTATCTTCAACATTCTTTGCCAACAACAAAATCCCAGTGCATTCGCCTTCAGTCTTCCTTATTCAATGTTCAACTTTCACAGGCACAAGAGGTCCTTGAAATACCCATGGCTTGGGGTCAGGCACACCTTAGTCCTCAAAGTAACATCCTTGCTTTTCAACTCTTTAAAGAGGGCTTATGCAGCAGAATTACCTATGCAATGAGTCTTTTGATCTCTTGATACCTCCAGGAACATTGATCATGCATCAAAGCAAGGTGAAATATTTGACCATTCAATCTGTTCTCTGTTTATCATGTTGTTACCTATTGGTCCAGTTGTGAGGCTTTTTGTTTTCCTTACATCGAGTTGTGATCCATACTGCAGGCTACAGGCCTTGATCTTCATCAGCAAGTGCGGCAAGTCTTCCTCACTTCCAGCAAGTAGGGTGTGCCAGCCGTATATCACAGGTTTAGAAGCCCCCCTCCAATCTCAATGCCAATTTTTTCTTCATATAATCCAGTTTATCTGATTATTTGCTCTGCATATAGATTGAATACGTTGAGTGAAAGGTTACAGCTCGGCTGCACACCTGTCCTGATTTTAAACCACACAGCATCCCCTTGGTCTCTTCACACAGTTGCCTCTCTTGTTCATAAAGGTTCCACATGAGCACAATGAAGTGTTCTGGAATTCACATTCTTCTCAAGACTACCCATAGTTTGTTACGATCCATACCATATAGTCAAGTGTCTTTGCATAGTCAATGAAACACAAGTTACATCTTCCTGATATTCTCTGCTTTCAGCCAAGATCCATCTGACATCAGCAATGATACACTCCTTGCTTGTCTAAGACCTCTTCTGAATCCAGCCTTAACCTCTGGCAGCTCCCAGTCAATGTATTGCTGCCACCTTTGCTGGATGACCTTCAGTAAAAATCTACTTGTATTTGACATCAATAACATTGTTCTACAATTTGCACACTGTTGAGTCACCTTTCTTTGGAATAGATACAAATATGGATCTCTTTGAGTCAGTTGGCCAAGTAGCTGTCGTTCAGATTTCTTGGCATAGATGAGTGGGTGCTTCCAGTGCTTCATCGGCTGGTGGAAATTGTTCAGTGGCTATTCCGTCAAGTCCTGGAGCCTTGTTTTGGCTAATACTTTCAGTGCACTTTGGACTTCTTCCTTCAGTACCTTTGGTTCTTGCTCACAGGCTACCTCTTGGAATGGTTAAGTGTCAACTAATTTTTTTTGGGGGGGTGCATAGTGACTCTATATTCTTTGCATCTTCTTTTGATGATTCCCACAGCACTCAATATTTTACCCAGACAATCTTAAATATTGTGTTGCCACTGGAGGCATGAAATGTTTCCTGGGTTCTTTTCAGTGTATGATATGGTGAGCATGTTATTCCTTTTCGGTTTTCTAATGCTGGGTCTTTGCCCATTTCATTATAATGTTTGACTTTGTCTTCTCGAACGGCCCTTTGACATTCTCTGCTGAGCTCTTGGACCAGTGATTGATTAATTTGTAGACGCTAGCCGGGTAGCGGCCTGACACTTTCCCTTCTGTTATTGTTGTTGCAGGCATCCATACATTGCATATTCTGGTCAGTCTGTTCCACTTCCACTTTGTTGGCCAGGAGTCCACAGAGAAGAACCAAGTCCAAGCCCTGTTTCTGTGTGTCTCAGGAGCTGAGCTCAGCGTGTTATCTATAG